TAGTCTTCAGCAGAAGACTCCTCTTACCCAGATCCACCACAGAGTGCCACAGGAAATCATTCCTACCTGTAGTCATCAACCTCTATAACGCCTCCCTCAAGTGATTCAGCATTTTTTTTTTCACGCCACTTATCACTTTACTTGGATTTATCACTTTAGTTGGATATTCACTTTATTTGGATTTAGTTTTTACATATGTATAGATATACATACACACATATATATATATATATATATATATATATATATATATATATATATATATATATATATATATATATATATATATATATATATATATATACAGAAGAGCTATATGTGTAAATATTTTATCTCTTTTTATTCTTATTTTTTTATCTTTATTATATTGTGTAGTTGGATGTGTATATATATATATATAAACCTGTAACTGGAGCGTGCAACAAAAGCAATTTCCCTCTGGGATTATTAAAGTATTTCTGATTCTGATTCTGAATAACACTGTGCGGAGTTATGTTTCTGTGTATTTAAGGGAGCTTTGGTACTTTATACTTTGTTATTGATATATATTATTTACCTAATGCACATTATCAACCAAAGTTGATAGCAGCAGGTTTTTTTGTGCATAGGTACGCCTTCTGAACAGTACCATGCTGGTGGTTCTGTTTCCTCTGCAGCAGCAGTTTCTACTCAGCAATCAACTCAAAACTGCTACAGAGATTCTGATGAGAATAGAAAAGCAGCTCCTGAAGGTTGGAATAACTGTCAAAAGCATCTAAACTGGGAAGAGTCTGGAAATCCTTCCTTTATCCACTGGAGCAAATGCAGAATAGTAAAAGGTTGGTGTGCCAAACAGGAGAAAAATTAAATAAACTGAAAACTGTTCAATATATTAATAACATATTTTCTTTTAACTGCTTTTTTGTTTTCAAGTTAATTTTAACACACCTTTCTGCAACCTCTCTGTGTTACTCATTCATTACTCCATCCAGACAGTGTCTTGTCCACAGTCAAAATCAAATAAATTAGAAAAGAATCCTATAGGAGCAAATCGATAATCAAAATAACTATTGAATGTGATTTATTAAACATAAGATATCTTTCTGCAAAAAGTCTAAGTTAATGACTTGATTTGTGATAATCACATTGATTTATGTTACCTTACAGAAACTTGGCTGCAGCAAGAGGATTATGTGAGCATAAATGAGGCAACTCTCTCTAGTTATTTAAGGAGGAGGAGGAGTAGCAACAATCTGTCAGCGTGATTTACTGATTACGCAAAAGTCAGTTAATGATTACAACTCTTTTGAATATTTAACCCTTAGTTTAACTTATCCATATTGCAAAGAACCAAATCTCTTTTTGTAATGTTGTATTGTGCACCAGGTGTATACTCTGAATTCTTAGATGAGTTTTCAGAGTTCTTATCTGATTTGGTGTTGAATACTGAAAGGGTCATCATAGGGGGGGATTTTAACACCTATACTGGCACTGAAGGTGATAGCTTAAATGCAGTCTTTAATGCTATCTTAGACTCGATTAGTTTTATTTAAAATGTGAGTAGTCCCACACATTCTCATCTTCATACTTTGGATCTTGTGGTGATATATGACAATGAATGAAGGTTTCTCACAACCCCATCCTACTGATAACTTTTTAATGACTTTTCCGGATTACTTTAACAGAGGTCTCTTAACCCCAAAAGAAGGTTTCACTTTCACACTTACTTATCAGATAATACAGTTATACATTTTCAGAATAAGAAATACTTTAATGATCACACCTGTGATCATTAAATCTCATTACAGCTTTCATTACAGGTGTGAGATCATTACAGATCTCACACCTGTAATGAAAATGATTATTTTCATTACAGGTATACAAACAACATATTGCACAAATTCATCATCCAAAGAAATAAAATACAACACAAAGAAATACAAATTTCCACACTAAAAATAAATACATACATGTGTAGCTAACTATATATACTTATATTTACAGATCTAAAAAAAAGTAATAGCAATGTGCAAAAGAATGAATAAATGTAATGATTTAAATGCTCTGTTTCACTTTCTCTCTTCTGTGTTGCTGAGCAGTGCTGCAAAGAGCAAAAGCTTAGTTTATTCCCCTTCACAGTTTGATGATTTTGTTGATGGGGTTGCTAGTTCTCTTTATATACTGCCTTAGATAACGTACTCCTTTGAAAAAAAAGCTTTAAAAGGAAACAAATGTAAAGACGGAAGCTGAGGTGTGGCAACAGAAGCATGAATCCAAAAATAACTGAATCCAGCAAACAGTAACTGCTGAGGAGGAGTATAAATGCTAAACAGAACAAAAATGGAGTAATCAACTGATTTGGAGCAGGTGTGGACAGAATGATCTAGAAGGGAGTTAGTGGAAAGGGGACCGGCACAAGGGGTCAACAGAAAGTGAACAAGAAATCATTGATATCTATTTATTAACTGAATTGCTGATAGCCCGAAAAAGGTAAAATCACCTGCTGCCGTCTTGGTATTCCCCACTCTCATGGAGATGCGCTATAAAACTGCCTTTGCATGTAGAATTTGGCTGCAAAAACCAAGCACTTTTCTGGCTCTGGGAAGACGCTTCACTGGTAATTTTACAGTCAGTGGATTAACTTACCAAGAAAATCCATATATATGCCGCCTTATCCTATGGTATTGTATGTAGCGTAAAATAAGTCTGGCTATGAGTTAACCATTGACATTGTGTCTAACATTAAGAAAATAGAAAGTAGGGTAAATAGAAAGTAATAAACTGTGAAATGTCAATGTAGTCATTTTTGATTAAATGGATGATGCGGTAGTTTTTGTAGTGTGTGGTATATTTCCCATTTCTTAGCCCGTGAGGTAGACACCTTGACCGTTTCTCAATTCACGAGAACGCGAGTATGTACTCGCGTTCTCGTCAAGTCCGTTCTTGGCGAGAACGCAGGAAGATCGGACTTGACGAGAACGCGAGCATGCAAGCACGTATGTGTATTGGAGCAGAAGCGTACTCGTGACGTCATCACAGGCAACGTTGTTTAGCATTTCTTTAACAGTCAAAACTATTTATTCCCTACACAAAACATTTTGAAAACAATATTTTTAATTTCTAAAGCTTAAAAAACATAAAAAAAAATTACCGAACCGCAAAAAAACGCCATCAGAACGAGCGGTAGTTCACACATAACTAGACCGAGAGAAGTGCACTACAGACGGGGTAACATTAGCCCTGGCTGCGGTTACCCTCGGAGGTCTGCTGGTCACTCTGGTCCGCTCAACGTCGGACTTTTTTTTTTAAATTTCGCACTAACTCTGTAAACAGGCCACACAGGGAGGCTTCAATGTATAATGTTATCGCCTCAAACGATTTCAAAACGTACTTTTGAAGAACAACAGCAGCAGAAAAGGGAATGTTTAACTTAACACTGTGAGTGCTGTCTCGAATCAAGCTGCGGCCGCGGGGCATTCTGGGGAAGCGGTCAGTCTGAAGAACGCACAAGTCTGCTCTGATGCATGCTCGATAAAGAGGGCGGGGCGAGAACAACATCCGGGGATTTGATGCGTTCTCGATCTGGCGTTCTTGAGAATTGGAACGGTACTCGGGCTGAGGCTGATGACGTGTCACGAGTACACGAGCACACTAGAACGCTCAAGAATGCATATTGAGAAACGCTTCCTGGTTACTTATGCTTAAAGCGTTCAATTTTGATAAAGCTTATAGTTAGAGTGGCTCAGGTTATCCTGAGCTATCTCTATAGTTATTCTGCTATAGGTTTAGACTCTCGCATGATGTATGGACCACTTTTCATCTTTCTGCTTCATTCTATCTTTATTCTCCCATTCTGCAATCTTTGTAAGATCAACCTCTAACGTTATGATCTATCTGCTTTTTCTCATAGTAGCTTCATCTGGTCTCTTCCTGTTTGGCTGTGACACCATCCTGGAGAGAAATATCAGCTGTGCTGCTGCCATCAACAAGTATGTTAATAGACGCTGGAGCTTGGTTCTCTTTTTCAGTGTAGTCCGGTTTCTCTGACTGTGACTATCTGTTTGTTCTCTTTCATCCTCTGACATGGGGGCTGGTTGGAGCACTTCTGCCTGGCTGTGTGTTTCCGCGACAAGGCCACATGTGGAGCTGATTGATGGTTGCCTTTGTATCTCTGCTTCTTTTTCGATCTCTTCTTCTGTCTCCTTGAACCCCAGTCGGCCGCGGCAGATGGCCGCTCACACTGAACCTGGTTCTGCTGGAGGTTTCTTCCTGTTAAAAGGGAGCTTTTCCTCTCCACTGTCGCTTAAAGCTTGCTTGGTGTGAGGGAATACCGAAGAGTCAATGAGTGAATGCAATCAACTGGTTTTCCTTAGAAAACTTGGAACCAATCTGAATGTATGCTCTGGTTAAATTGTCGCTGTAAAGTGCCTTGAAATGACATGTGTTGTTAATTGGTGCTATAGAAATAAAGTGAATTGAAATGTATTCTGAGGTTTTGTTTGGGTTTTATCCCAGGGCTTCAATGGCTGCTTGGTGGAGGGTTTTCTAGGATTCAGATCAATCCTGAGGTCAAGGCTGCCTGTCAGAGTATGTAACCATGGTAACTAGCCTCGCTAAAAATGAATTCAGCTTCATGGTACTGAAGAGTCAGAAGTTGGCTCGATAACCCAGTAATTCTGATTCATGGTACAGGTCTCTGTCCTCGAACTAAACTCATCGTTGATCTAATTCCTTTTATTTTAGATGTAACAGACTTTATAGGTAGTGTGGCAATAAATGAATAGAGCAGCCACATAATCTAAAGTCAGCTGAAATGACTGTGTATTTGTCAGTAACCCCCACTTCCTTCTCTTCTCTACCTGCTGAACCCGAAATCCGAAACAAAGTGAAACGTGACAGCTTCTATGCCGTTCTCCGAACCAGCCAATCACAGCAGTCTAGTTTTGTAATTCAACCTGACGTTTCTCCAGCCGACCAATCAGGAAGCCAGAGGCTGCGCCCTGTGAGGACTCGCCACGCCCTCGATTGATCTAACCCCGCCCACAGTCACCAGGAAAGTTTTCGGGTCTCCAGTTGGAGCTCTTGTTTCTCCCCGTTTTTTCTGGATTAAATCCAATATTCCGCTTGATTTCCTCCGATGTTGGGCTAAGGAGAAAGCATGGTGGTGAACTCGGTCCACTGGTTCCGCAAAGGTCTGCGGCTGCATGATAATCCTGCGCTGCAGGAGGCCCTGAGCGGAGCGGACATGGACATGGTGCGCTGTGTTTATGTCCTGGATCCCTGGTTCGCTGGCGCCGCTAACGTCGGAATCAACAGATGGAGGTCTGAGTTTTTCACCGTTTTTTTCACTTTAAACTACTCACAACACCATGTTTATATTGCCCGGGAGATTCATTAGCTCTGAGGTTTGTTATGGTTCAGACCCGTTAATCAAACTTCAGGCCGGCGTGGGCCTCCGCTCTGTTAGCGGGTGCTAGCCCATTCAAAACCCCCTTAGCAAAAGTTACAATTTCACTTGTTTCTCCTATATAACTTTAATATTACAGTCTACAGAAAAGCAAATACATTTTCTTTGATCCGAGAGGTAATCTAGATAATTCGGCGCCATTGTAACATTTCTATATCAACATAAACACTCAGACCTGTAGATAACATAGTTGTCTTCTTGGTTATTTTGATTATTTAAAAATATCAAGAAGGTAATTAATATCACTGATAAAATTTAGGAATTGAAACAATTAAATTGATTCATTACAAGCAGAGTGATAACCCTCAAAGTTTTTTTTTATTAGTACCAAATCTAAAACATTTGGCATCGTTAAAGGGATTGAATTGTTTTTGCCAAACGGGTTGCATTATGAATATTGAGTGACTCCTCAGTACTCCTTACTAAATTGAACAGCCAGATCCCTGTGAGCTCATTGGAAGCAGCTTCTCCATGTTTGATCTCTGCTTCCCTCTATGCAGGTTTCTGCTGGAGTCTCTGGAGGACCTGGATAACAGTTTGAAGAAGCTGAACTCTAGGCTGTTTGTGGTCAGAGGTCAGCCCACCGAGGTCTTCCCCAGGCTCTTTAAGGTTTGTCTTCCTGCACATGTCACGTTCTTTGGCCGGCCTCCTCCAGAATCTGCGTCCCTTTGGAAGCTGGTAGCCGGACCGATCACTGGTGAGAGTGGGGAAAACGATCAGGATTAATAAAACCTAACACACTGAACTCTGAAGGTCCTTTGGCTGCAGCTCCAGCCTGCAGCAAACATGACTCTGCTGGGTATGGATGCTGGATATCAGCTGGTTTCCTATTGGTCAGCTGGTTTGACATCAGGGCTCTGGAGCTGCGCTCTTTGGATCCTTGTCCTTTGGTTCAACACACTTGAATCCAGTAATTAGATGATTGAGGGGACTCTGGAGGAGCTGGCTGCATACTGAGGAGGTAAAGCCAGGCGTACACTGTGCGATTTTTTTTTTTACAATCGTTGCACGCAGCTGCTGCTCACACTGTACGACTAATCGCAGGGTTTCGTCGTACAGTGTGAGTTCAAAGCTCACGATTTATGTTCAACCCAACGCTCTGATGCGATCACACTGCACGACTAAAAACCACGTTGGACTCAGCTCCGCAGTGAGAAGGAGCTGCTCTGTAGCTCTCTATCCTGAAGCCAAACAAATAGAAGGGGAATATTAAGCTCGCTACAGTGAACCGAGCTGCCTTGGCAATTTGTGCAATTTTTTGCTGAAAGTCCTAAAAAGAAAAGGCGATGACGTGTTTGGAAAAAAACATATGGCTGCTGCTGCGTTTACATCTGAGAGGAAGAATAAAAAGAAGAATCCTTGCTTGCGCATGCGCCCTGCGCGATTTGCCCATGAAGGTCGGGAGAAACATGTTTGATTTTCTCTCGACCTCACCATTCGGGGGTGGTCGTAAGAGGCTGATTGCCGCTTGTAACCCCCTGTACACTACACGACTCACGACGCACGATCAGGCTGTTTCAATCGCATGATTGAAAAATCTCCCCGAAAACCTCACAGTGTACGCCCGGCTTAATTAAACCATTTGATTCAGGTGTGTTGGATCAAGGATGGATCTAAAAGCTGTAGGATCCCGGCCCCCAGGAACTGGAATTGCCCACCCCTGTGTTTGGTCAGCCCATTCTATGGTGCTAAACTCTCTGGAAAAAGTTGGTTTTCTTTGCTTCAGCTTTGACCGAACAAGCCCCACACCATGATACCGCCACCTCTATGCTCTCCTGTGGGGTTTGTGGTTTCCCAAATATGAAACGTTTAGAAGCCAATATTTTCCAGCTAGATTTGTCAGATCAGAGAACGTTGTTTTTCAGTCTTTTCACACCTGTGGTTTAACTTCATTTTGATTCAGCTGATGAACTTTCGACTTTCTCTGGTGCTTCAATGTTTTTCTGAGAGGTTGGTCCAATTCTTCATACGCGTAAGCACTCCTGATTGATGAAGCTTTTTCTGATCATAATGATGGTGAGAAGACGTCTTCCTCATGTGGTGCTTTATGCAAAAAACCTGAGGGCCTTTGATCTGTCCAACCAGAGATAGATGGACCTAAAAACCCATAGAGGCTGATCCGAAGCTGACTGTTTTTCTGCTCTAAGATCAAACTTCACATCTCTGTCGTTTCGTAAAAGGATTCTGAAGCAAAGCATCATTTAATCCGGTTCAGCCTGGGAATTCTAACATGTTTGATTCGATATATAGACGTCCTTCTTCTTACTGGGATGAAAACAGATGGAAAAGAAAAGATGAAAAAATTCCTGTGAGATGAGACAGAAACATCTCATCCCTGACTAGCACCAACCGCGCTCGGTCCGCTGGTTCCCCCCCTTTGGTCTTTTTGGGCAGGTGTGAATGAATGTTAAAAGGGAGTTGAATCCTGGTCCGAACCAAACAGCCAGAAACCAAGAAGCCGTTTTTGGACTCCTAGTGGGATTCACAACCCTTCAGGCCTTTATGGACCCTCTGAGGCTCATTAGGCGGGCCTGGCGTGGTAGTGAGTCAGACCTGATCTAGGCAGCAGTGCAGCCACCTTGCTCTTGGTCAGAACAGCGTCTGTTTTTTTTATCGCTGCTCTGAACTTTGAGGAAAGTCATCAGTTCTGGTTCAGTTCTGGTCGCGCTGCTGTGAAGTCGGTCCGTTTTGGAGGATTCTGTTTGACGGTCGGGTTTTTCTCGTCGTCTTCTGGACATTCAGCTCTGAGCACCTGGTGTTTAGTTGTATTTCTGTAACTCCAGTGGCGACCATGGCAACGCCCCGCCGGCACCGTGTGGCTCTGGTTAATCTGGGTCGCTATAGAGCTGAGCGGAAGCGAGAAGGTTGGCACGTCAGCCTCCTCTTCCTCCGCTGGAGGCGTCTCTGCAGATCGCTGACTCAACATGAGGCTTTTTGACTCATCTTCATCAACTCTGGGTTCAGTAAACTCTTCAGCTTGGTTTTCATCCTTATCACCTTCCTCTATCATCATCTTCATCATCGTCATTTAATCCGCCTGTGACTAGTGGTGGGGAAAAAAATAATTTTGGCAATATGTCTTGGGAGCTGGCTCAGAGCTCGTCTGCCTGGCTGTGTGTTTCCTGGATGGGACCGCCTTTTATAGTTGCCTTTTATATCTCTGCTTCTGTGTCCTTGCCTTGAGATGACATGTGTTGTGAATTGGCGCTATATAAATAAACTGAATTCAGCTTTATTTAGTTTTCCTCTGCATTTTGATCTACCAGCTCATAATTGATGCTCTGTATTTTTTTGATCCTCAGAATGTTAAAGAGTTTTTGCTTCTTTTTGTTTAGTTTCTCCTTTTTTTGCAGCTTTTCTACAAACTGGAGCTATTTTTATTTGATTTTTTTCACAAACCAAGATGTCTGCTGTGAGGATGCCGTGTGAAACTTTCTTTGCACTGCAGGAATGGAACGTGACCCGGCTGACGTTCGAATACGACCCAGAGCCTTACGGGAAGGAGAGGGATGCCGCCATCATCAAGATGGCCCAGGAGTTTGGAGTGGAGGCCGTCGTTAGAAACTCTCACACCCTCTACAACCTGGACAGGTCTGTGGATTCAGATTTAAAGGTCCGACATTTTAATGAACCTCTCGGCTCACTGCTGTTTGTCATGTTTCGGCCAAAGATTCCTGGAAGAGTTTGAAACATGGCCAAAAAATAGCAACAACTTCGTCTGGGAGAAGCTCTGCTTTAATGCATGCAGCCTTCAGTAGCATCAGCCTCAGCTGCAGGCATGAAGGCTGCTGAGCAGGAAGGGTTTGTTCTAAACATTGCCCTCCATCGCTCATGTGGTTCGGTTTCTAACTTTGGAAGTTGAACAGAAAACTGTAAGACATGTCGACTGACGCTAACAGAGATGAGTGATAATAGCAAATATCAAATAAAAGATAGAACCCTGCCTGAGGTACGCTGCGAGCTCGAGGGTCAAACATCCAAACCAGAGAGCCTCCCTGCTACCGAGCTGCGTTCAGCATTCAGCTCACGATGGAGCTGGAAGTATTTTAACCAATCATGTTGGAAAATAAGGCAAAACCTTTGATTATTGAACTTTTTCACAGCTTTTTGGTAACTTTCATATAAAAAGTACAGAACTAATACTGAAGAACAGATTAAAATATTTATTTTGAAATAAATGCAGAACTGGGGATGTTTTTTAAACCGTCGCAACATGAAAAACATTCTTCAGTACTTATCTTCTTAAATTATCCTATTTCCTTTGGTTTGCAGCATTCCACAGCAAAGCACTCTGGGTTTGGTTTTGGCTACGGTAGATTTTCCATCTTCGATTTATGCCATAATAGGAATTTTCTTGGTTTATAAATCAGTTTTTACTCCACACTGGTTCTCATGTGTCCCCGGAGTTTGGATCAGGTTTGATCCGTTCGGGCCTCTGTCCTTTAATGTGTGGATAGAAAACTCTGTGCTGCAGAGGGACGTAATGTAGGAGGACGTGCAGTGGGGATGAGGAAGCCGTGTGGGGCCGAAAGGACACTTCTGAACATCTTTCCCTCCTGTTCTGCGATCCATTAAAGGCGCTGATCTCTGGTTCTGAAGAACCTGGAGCCTCTGGTTTCCCACCGTCTGAACTTAGAGAAATGAAAATCCGATGGCCGTACACGTCAGTTTCAGATTTGGTGGCGCCCCCAGTGGCCCTCTGTTGTCACTACAGTGCACGCATGCACAGGCATCAGCTGGTTTGAAGTGAGGAACTTCCTGCATGATGGTGCGTCTCTGTGCTCCTGCAGGACCAGAGCGGAGGTGCATAACCAGCAGATTACTGCTAGGCTGTGAGCTGGTCAACCTGGCAGGGCCAGTTCCTGGGCGGAGCTAGGCGCTGGGTGGAGCCAGGTGCCTGGTGCCACTGGAAATGAGCGCAGATTAACTGGTCTCATGGCAGACACTGCGCTGCAGCCAATGAGAGACCAACCCTGCTATCTAAAAGTCCAAAACACACAGCAGCTGGTTCTGATCCGTTCACACAGGAAAGAGTCAGGTTACAGAACCAGGCTGATGCAGCCAAACGGGTCATAGGCAGGATTTAGTGTTGTTGCTGCGGAAACGTTTACTGGACTGCACTGAATGTGTTTATTATCACGGAGGCTCTAAAGCGGGTGATACTGGTTGGTCTGGTTGGTCCTTCTCCTGCTGACACGATCGGGGCTTTTCTGAAAAGTTGAACCTTTTTAAATGTGATTTTTTTTTAAATATAAATCCGTCTTAATAAACGGCGCTATGACGACATTCTCCATCCTGGTTAATATGATTTGGATTCTACATTTCACTTTTCTGTCTTCATTCCTTCGTCCTACATTTATCCTCAGTGTTTCCTCACTAATCCTCCAGTTTCCTGAAATTAGTTTCAGTCATTTATTTTTAGGTTAAAATTTTGACAGTTTTAACTTGTTTACTGTAATATTTAACCAGAGATCCACTTTCCTTCTTTTGGCATTTTCTGTTTTATGATCCTTTAAGCAGAACGATGTGTTAAATACCTTTCACTGTACATTACTGTGATTCGGAGGATGTGTTTGTTCCAGTTATTTCATAACTTATAATGAATCCCTCTGGTTTTAACCATGTTACAATATAGATTATAGATAAATAGATATAGATTAAAATAATCCTGATATTCTCAGATGACAAAGTTGAACCATGTTTGCTTCTGATCGATTATAGAGGGATTATCAGGCAACGTGACTCTACGTCACTTCCGGCACCAATGCGCATGTCGCCTGCAGAAAGAGCCGCTAACATGTCTTGTTGTGCTGTCGGTTGCACGAACCGTTTTGATAAAAACAATAAAACGCGCAAGTTTTACAGAATCCCATCAACTCGCACCCCTTTCAAGGCAAACAAGAGACGTCTTTGGTTGCAAGCCATCAGAAGAAGCGATTGGAACGAGCAGATGATTAAAAATGCATCAATCTGCAGCGATCACTTTATATCAGGTAAGTCTTATCTATAAAAAAGCTAAACGGCATCGCTGGTTTTACAAACAATGGTTTTACATACAATTATTAAGTATTACATATATAAACGGGATTAATGAATCGTACAAAACACATTGGAGCATAACTAGCATACAAGCTAATGTACCTTGATTCAGTCTTATCAAGTTGCAACTCATCGGGTCAGCCATAAGTTTTATCATTAACATCATCAGGTTGTCTGGTCTAAACTTCTCTGTGTGTGCTGTCTTTTCAATTGATTGACTAGTGTCTGTAATAAAGGTTGATGATGATGATGATGATGATGATGATGATTGCGTCAATACATTATTTGTACAGGAGAGGCATCAGACGACATCGACAGCCCAGACTTTGTCCCGTCTATCTTTCCATACTCAATCCAGCCCGGCAAAGACGGTGTTGCAAAACTGGAGCGGTAAGTATCACATCTGTGTGCTTGATTGTTGTCTGATTACAAGCATGACTCCACATAGTATGACTGGAAGTGCAAAGAAAAAATATTGATATATTGTAGCTATATAGGTTACCCCGGTTAAAGGTCAGAGCATGTAGTTTTTATTAGACATCTCATATGGAGAGTTGGGATGACTTAGCATGTGATTTGCATGGACTTGAATTTAGGAGATAACACCTGTGAAACTGTTTTGTTTTTTTGGGTGTTTTTTTTGCACTAAATGATTGTTCTCTCCTGTGTGTTTCAGATATAAGAGAAAAAGAAGAAGGGATGCAACCCCCAGCAGGTGTCCAGAAGATGGACATCAGTGTACACCCTCTTCCATCTCTCCAACTGAGTGTGGAATAGAGGCTGGTGCTGATCTATATAATGGTATGAAACCTTATTACTAACCTGACCAAGACGGCCTGCAAACTCATTTGGATTTTTATAAAGGGACGTAGATCTGTGTGTTCCTAAATGTTAACATATTAATTATTGCAGAATAGAATAGTCACTAGTGTACAGAAGAGGTTTAGGACCACTGAAAAAAAAGTAAACTGATTTTTAAATTTTATTTCAGTTTAACATGGGAACAAAGTCAGAATTCTGAGATTAAAGTCAGAATTCTGACTTTAATCACAGAATTCTGACTTTAATCACAGAATTCTGACTTTATTCTCAGAATTCTGACTTTTTTCCCATACTATACGGAAAAAAAAAAAAAAAAAAAACAGTTAACTTTTTTTTTTCCAGTGGCCCTTATCCTCTTCCGTACTAGTGTGATTAATCAGTTAGTAATGTTCATATTTGTTGCGAACAGGTATTTGCCCACAGTGTGACTGATCACCCAGAATGTAACCATTTGTTTTTTGTAAAGATAAGAATGTAAAATTTGTATTTATTTTTCAGAAGGTATGGTCCCACAGACTGTCCATGATGACCTCCAGCTGAAGTACAGCCAACTTCATACAGAGTGTGATAACCTGCGTGAGGACATCAACAAAATGGAAACAGAGAATGAACAATAAAAAGAAATGCTCGGGACTGCACAGTTCTCTTTTGCGTCACTGCAGTGTAAAGCAGCACAGGTGCTGTTTTTCACAGGTCTAACCAGTGCCCTCTTTAATTGGGTCCTGCAGACGATGAAGGACAGTGTTGAGGTCATCCGTGGCTCTCTGACCCTAGAGGATCATCTTTTGGCTGTACTCATGAAACTCAGATTAGGACTCACCAACAAGGATATTGCATTCAGATTTAATGTTAACGAATGTGACATCTCTAAAATCTTAAGAAGTTGGCTGCCTATTATGTCTCAGATTTTGAAACCTTTAATCAAGTGGCCAAGTAAGCATGCTATATTAAAGAATATGCAAAAATGTTTCAAACCTAAATACCAGCGTTGCAGGTGCATTATTGACTGCACAGAAATTTTTATTAACAGACCAACAAATTTAACAGCCAGAGCCCAAACATATTCAAATTATAAGAGCCATAACACGGTTAAGTATTTGGTTGGCATGTCACCTGCAGGAGCAATTACATTTCTGTCTGCAGGTTGGGGTGGGCGTGTTTCTGATAAACAACTTACAGCCGAGTCTGGATTTTATGACCTTCTACAAGTAAATGATGAGATACTAGCAGATCGTGATTTTACCATTAGAGATGAGCTTGCCTTGCGTGGTGCTACCCTGAGGATCCCTCACTTTACCAAAGGTAAAAAGCAGTTGTCTGCTCAAGAGGTGGAAACATCGAGGCGTTTGTCCAATGTTAAAATACACATTGAAAGAATAATAGGGAGATGGAAAACTTTCCGAATTCTTACTACTGTTATTCCTTTATCACAGGCGGACCTGTTAGATGACATTGTAATTGTTTGTGCAGCAGTGACAAACATTTGCAAATGCATAGTCCCTAGAAAATAAATTAAAAGCCCTTAATTGAATTGTGCCAAAATTAAGGCCTTAATGTTGTTAACATCTATGAATTGAGGTTTAAATGTCATTGAATATTATTTTTTGAAAAAAATGATTGCCTAAGTATTTTCACTGCATAAGCTCATTGAACATTCAAAAGCTGTGGTTTAAAACATTTTGCAGCAGTTTTGGTTCAAAATGTGTGTTGTATCCAGTTTGCTTTTGAATATTGAGATTTTTCCTCATTCCTCTGTTGTATGATATATTTCAAAATCTTAAATGAAATATGCAGATATTTTGCTTTGTGTTTTGCCATTGAAAATAAAACAATTCAATCAGCTGATACGTGTGTAAACCCTGTGTAAATATTAATAAAGTATTCAAAAGTCAAGGAAACATTGAAATATATTTATTCTTGTGCATGTAACCAATAATAAAAATAACAATATTAAACTTTCTTGTCATAAGATGCACACTGAGAACCTTAGTGCATACTTTAAATGGTAAGCACAGGTACAGTTACAACTCTATGTTTCAGAGTGCATTTTTTCTAGTTTTTCTGTTTTTTGCACTGATCACAATACCATTCTTTAGCCTTTCTTTTTACTTTTGCACATTCGTAGTGGAAATGCCTATTGCACTTTGCACAAGTGGGAATGAATGTCCAGCCACTGAATTTTGGGCCATTTTTTCTCGTCATTTATCTACTCACCGGCATGTAACGCGTATGGGTCATTAAGACGTATTGCATTAACTAGTGTTAATTTAGCAGCATAACTTATTTTATCACTAGGTGATAAACTGTTGTAGTACGCTGACAACATCGCTAGCTAGCAGATCGCAACTGCTGAATAACCGCGTATAATCACAACATTCAACCAGACGCTTTAAAGGACCCGGCACTTTTTGCAGTCAAGATGCGCGCGCATCCGCCGTGTTGATAAACAAATAATCCCTCTATATGTTGGGGGGTTTTTACGCTGCTTTTGAGCAAATATCCAAAAATAAATGTCTAAACTGGTGAAGTGGAGCATAAAACATTTGAGAAAGATTTGAAAAATGTATTAATTTAATACAAATCACCCAGACTTTTTTCTAATGCAATGTTTTTGAGGTGCAGGAGTTTCTGTGACTCGACTCCCTCAGAAGAGGTTTGCAGTGGAATTTGAGCTGATGAATCCGATTTTATGGTCTTATTTTAGAACAGAATAAATCTTAATTGTCCACCAAGGTGGAAGATTGTCTTAGGCTCGCTAGAGAGGCTATAATAAAATAAAAATGTATATCTTTCCAAAGAGAACAGTTCATCATACAGCCATCGGAGACAGAGTTTGTCTCCTTTACTTATAATGAGGAAAAAGCTTTGCAGTCAAAACTAATTACACACCCTTTGGTTAAACAATAACAATTACTGGGAAAGAATTTGGCTTGTTATGGAATAAGTATTCCTTGTATGCAAAACATTTCTCACTCAGACATTTTGTGGCCTTGCAAGTGAAAAAGAGTAAAAACATTTTTCGCTGGATAAGTAGCGGAACTAAAGATATGAAACCAGAGAAATCAAAATTTTCTGACCGGACTGGCCTCTCCTCTAATTGGAAAATATTAACCAAAAGTTTGCAGCTTTTGGTTAACAAAACACAAGATTAACAGCCAGCTTTTCAAAACATGGATCCTAAATTGTCTCTTAAAGGAATAGTACACCCAAAACATGATTAGCCTTCATTTTCTACTCACCCCCATGCTGAACAACACTCTGGAGTACTTTTTTGATATCTCAAATGCATCTGGAGATCTGGGAGGCTTCTTGCTGTCTGCTGACATTCAAATAATGGAGGTCTATGGTGCCCGAGGCAGAAAGGTCCATAAAAGTCCACAAAAAACGTGTCAATATTCCTCCATACTGCTCGTCCAATGTATTCCAAGAATCCTGAGTGGGTAGCGTCCATAATTTACTCGAAACAAAGTCATTTAGAATGTTTTTAGAGCATAAACAGTAGTGTATAGGATTTCCTGAAAGCGCGTTCAACAACGCTACGGAAACCGCGGCAGACCAAACCAGATGAAAGTGCGCATTCAGCTCGGCAAAGAACTCATGCTCTTCCTCAACACTGAAGTCCTCAGACATTTTTCTTTCGTTGTTTCTTTCTTTGCACAGGTAAACGGCACATTTCTTCTTCTACGCTTGCATTATCGGCAGAGCAGACGCTGAATGCGCACTTTCATCTGGTTTGGTCTGCCGCGGTTTCCGTAGACTCGTGAACGCGCTTTTAGGAAATCCTATACACTACTGTTTATGCTCTAAAAACATTCTAAATGACTTTGTTTCGAGTAAATTCTGGACGCTACCCACTCAGGATTCTTGGAATACATTGGACGAGCAGTATGGAGGAATATTGACACGTTTTTTGTGGACTTTTATGGACCTTTCTGCCTCGGGCGCCATAGACCTCCAATATTTGAATGTCAGCAGACAGCAAGAAGCCTCCCAGATCTCCAGATGCATTTGAGATATCAAAAAAGTACTCCAGAGTGTTGTTCAGCATGGGGGTGAATAGAAAATGAAGGCTAATCATGTTTTGGGTGTACTATTCCTTTAAATTCTGGGATGACCCAGATCTATACTGGATAGATGTTCTTTCAAGCTGTGTTTTAGAGTCTATAATTGATTAGTGAATCAGTTCATTATTATTCTAATAATCTGATTGTTTGTATTGGTTCTTCTGACGTCCTCCTGGTGTGGTCATTATCAGTAGGGTTGGTTCCTGTTGGCAGCTGGTATTCTGTCCGTATCAATATGAAGGGGATGTGCTGCAGCAGCAGCAGCTTTGATTATTCTCCTCTGTTGTTTCCATGGCTGCAGGATCATCGAGATGAACAACAACAACCCTCCTCTGACCTTTAAGAGATTTCAGACCATAGTGAGCAGGCTGGAGTTGCCCAGGAGACCTCTGGCTCCCATCAGCCAGCAGCAGATGAACCGATGTCTCAGTGACATATCTGACAACCACGACCAGCTCTACAGCATCCCTTCTCTGGTGGAGCTTGGTGAGTCCTATCTGCTGTCTGTAGATCTACAGTCTGCCATCAGAAGGTCCTCAGCAGTGATGGAACCAACTCATTCCAGAAGGATTCCTGTGTCTCTTATTATTAGTTCCCAGAAAGACCTCACAGTTTGACAGAATCACTGTTTTTTTATTTTGATTGATTTAGAAAAAAAAAGTACTTTATGTAACAGAACAATGGATTTTTCTCTGTTTATTTTTGCATAATTTCTGTAATTTTTTGTAAATAACTAAGATCCTGATCAGTTCAGTTTGCAATTATTCAAATATTTCTGAACTAATTTAGTCATTGTTAACCGAAGCTTACATAGCAAATCGCTCAGGGCAGAAATGACAAATACATTTGGATTTTAAAACAAGAAGTGTCTGTTCTTGTTTCCTGCAGAACATCTCATCTCCGAAACAACTGAAATAAGCTGTCGTTTTTTTCATTACATTTAACTTTAATAGACATTTTCTTGTGATTGGTGTGTTTGTGCAGGTTTCAGGACGGAGGGGCTACCAACAGCCGTGTGGCGGGGCGGAGAGTCGGAGGCCCTGGACAGACTGAGCAGATACCTCGACAAAAATGTAAACCTGGGGCGGGAACAGGAAGTGTGCTTTGGTTGGGTAGTGTAGGTCTGTAAGTCTGGAGTAGAGTAAAGAAGCGAGAACAGGAAATCTGGAGTAGAATAGAGGGGGCGGGAACAGGAAGTTCGGAGTAGGATAGAGGGGGCGGAAACAGGAAGTCCGGAGTAGGATAGAGGGAGCGGGAACAGGAAGTTCGGAGTAGGATAGAGGGGGCGGGAACAGGAAGTACGGAGTAGGATAGAGTGGGCGGGAACAGGAAGTTCGGAGTAGGATAAAGGGGACGGGAACAGGAAGTCCGGAGTAGGATAGAGTGGGCGGGAACAGGAAGTTCGGAATAGGATAGAGTGGGGGGGAACAGGAAGTTCGGAGTAGGATAGAGTGGGAGGGAACAGGAAGTTCGGAGTAGGATAGAGTGTGCGGGAACAGGAAGTTCGGAGTAGGATAGAGTGGGAGGGAACAGGAAGTTCGGAGTAGGATAGAGTGGGCGGGAACAGGAAGTTCGGAGTAGGATAGAGTGGGAGGTAACAGGAAGTTCGGAGTAGGATAGAGTGGGCGGGAACAGGAAGTTCGGAGTAGGATAGAGTGGGAGGGAACAGGAAGTTCGGAGTAGGATAGAGTGGGCGGGAACAGGAAGTTCGGAGTAGGATAGAGTGGACGGGAACAGGAAGTTCGGAGTAGGATAGAGTGGGAGGTAACAGGAAGTTCGGAGTAGGATAGAGTGAGAGGGAACAGGAAGTTCGGAGTAGGATAGAGTGGACGGGAACAGGAAGTTCGGAGTAGGATAGAGTGGGAGGTAACAGGAAGTTCGGAGTAGGATAGAGTGAGAGGGAACAGGAAGTTCGGAGTAGGATAGAGTGGGCGGGAACAGTGGGTCTTGGGTAGAATAGAGTGGGGAGTAGGGGTGTAAATCACATCCATCATGGCGATTCGATTCAGTATCGATTTCCTGACCTAACGATTCTATTATTTTCGATACTCAAGAATATATTGATTCGATTAATTGCTTCATTTTTTTTTTACCTTACAGGCTAGACAATGTTTCAAATTTAAAATAAATCAATGAAAGCTGTAATATCGTTATGCATTTTATTTGAGAAACAACAGCAAATAACAGAAGTAGAAAAGTTGTACTCCACCAATTCCTATTAAAACCTCATTCACTGAAAAATAATAATGCCCCTGCGTTATAGAAAGGCCGTGCATCAGAAAATACTGCACAAAATCAGTGCAATGAGTGCAATGCAATACCCCGGCTCCAGACATCCCTGCCCCCTCCACAGACGCTTCGCTGGCCTCTCCCAAATTGTAGCTGACCGCTAACAGTGCCGCAGACAGGAGGCCGGCGTGTTTTGTTTTTATGACTGAAATTGCGGAAAACAACTCGTGAAGTTTGACCCGCTAGAAGAGCGAGGTGTGCGAGAACACTGAGACCCTTGTTCCACCTGGATCTCCGCTCTTTTTGGCCCTCATGTCCCTCCGTCGTCGGACTAAACTCGCCCCCACTTCCTCGCCACCTCGGCCGTATCTAGACCCACAGCGTGTAGCACAGATCACGCTTCAATATTGAGCATAAATCAAAAATGTCTGTATCAAGCTCACTGCAACACACTGCTGTAAGAGTATAACCAGGAAGCGAGGTAGGAGGGAAAGATAGGTTTAGCGCCACCGCAGCACGGGAGGAGAATTACGCCCAGGAGCAAATGGATAAAAATAGACTGGAGGAAAAAAAAAAACATGAATCGATACTATTGCGGACGTATCGATGCATTGATACAAAACGATTATTATTTACACCCCTAGTGGGGAGTAGAATAGAGTGGGCGGGAACAGGAAGTCTGGAGCAGAGCAGGGTAATGATGGTGTAACAGCAGCAAAGCCACAGCCATGTAGAGTAAGTGAAAAAATGTTTAAAACCAAAAAACAAACAGTTTACAGTGAGAGCAACAGTAAGTTTTAAATATGAGTATGATGCAGTCACTGAAGAAATATTACCAAAATATACGGCTGTGACCATTTTTACAGTTGGTGGATAAAAGAAACGGCAGCAGCAGCGATGTGAGAAATGAAGGAAACCCGCTATTCAAACACTGTGTAAAAATTGTTAACCCATCCTTGCCCAAAACCATAAGAGTTTCCAGCTGCTCTGAATTTATTTTCATATAATTTTGCAATATTTGTTTCCTTTAATTAATCAAAGATAAAAACGCAGTCTTCAATCAAAGCTTTTTAACCAATGTCCTAAAGCCACTTTTTTTTATAACAGAGCTGAAGATAAATATTAGAAATGCCTGAAAAATAACTGCTGATACAATTATAACATGATGTAAAGCATCTCGATATAAACAATGAAATCTTCCCTTATGTCTGGCCCTCCATGTCTTTATTAAAGCACCTAGTCACTACAGACCCCAAACCCAAAGGTGGTTTCTGTGTTTGTCTCATTTAAGAACTGAATGACGTCAGCAATGGGAGCACGATTTAGGTCATTTTACTGTGAACCAAAATTGTTAATCAGATTTGGATGAACTGAAGTCTGAATAACATCACTAGATGAGTTTGAGGCTGTCTATACACTTGGGCCACTAGGGGGCAGTGGTTCCCTTTAAACCAAGCCTGCTAAAAATGTGAGGCTGTTTTTATGAGTGAGTATGACAGTTTTTTTGTGTTTTTATTTTATTTACTAAAAAATATGGAAAGCTCATCTAATAACTAGAATAAATGATGAATTACAAATATAGAAACTTATATTACATAAAAAGAAGTTTCAGCTCAGAAAGGCTGTTACAGACAAAAATACACAACTAAGCAGCAGCTTATTCAACACCAGATTGATTCATCATAAACAAAAAATTTTTTTTAATTATTTTATTTTGCTGACGATATTTTCATAAAATGACCTTTAATTAAAATGCTTCTTTTCTGAATCTAATTTTCTGAACGTTCTTACCTATTTATTAGCCTTTTAGCCGTTAACCCCATGAAGAAAAACAATAATGATGATGAATATGCTGGAGTATAATGTGAAAAGATGAACAGGCCCCATTACACCAAACTGCAGACCAGCTTTACCCTTTTAAATCAGTTACACAACAGAAATGTTTCTTTACTTTCTTTTTCTGGACAGACTGGCTGTTCAGGAAACAGTTATTCAGTACAAAAACTCTCAAGTGAATTGATTATTTTTTGATAATTTGATGCATTTAAAAAAAAGATTTTAAAGCATCTGACATGACATAAAATTTTATGAAAACCAACACTGATGAATCGCTGCTCAGGTGGACGTGGTGCTGCTGACTGACTGACTGATGCTGACCTCAGACTGTCCGTCTCCTCAGGTGTGGGTGGCCAACACCCGGGCCAAGACCTGCTCCCTGTACGCCAGCCCCACCGGCCTTAGCCCCTACCTGCGCTTCGGCTGCCTGTCCTGCAGGCTTCTGTACTACAACCTCAGAGAGATCTACATGAAGGTACATGAAGGTCCTGTCCAGCTTAACCTGGTCTGTGTTTCTGATGAAGATGCTGAGGAGAAAAAAAAGCCAATTAACTGCAGAAAAAAAGCAGAATTTTTTTTTTCCTTTTGGGTAAAATTTTAAGAAAAATCTGTAAAATAAACTAAAGGAATAGAAGAAAGGCTTGGAAATCATGGCCTGAATATGAGTCTGACCTCCTGAGAGGAGGAGCACTTTAATAAAAGGTTCCCAAACTTCTCAGTCCAGAAATAACTGGAGTCCAAATAAAAATGCATGTTATTTTACTTTTATTTTACTTTATTTCTGTAATTATTTTACAGCTGTGCTGCTGCCATCAACACTTTTCTTTATAGATGTTGGAGACCGTCCTGTTTTTCAGTGTAGTCCTGTTTCTCTGACTGTGACTAACTAGATGTGCTCTCTTCATTCTCTGACATGGGAGCTGGCTCAGAGCTTGTCTGCCTGGCTGTGTGTTTCCTGGACAGGGCCGCCTTTTACAGCTGCTTTTTGTATCTCTGCTTCTGTCTCCTTGAACCCCAGTCGGCCTCAGCAGATGGCCGCTCACACTGAGCCTGGTTCTGCTGGAGGTTTCTTCCTGTTCAAAGGGAGTTTTTCCTCTCCACTGTCGCTACAAGCATGCTTAGCATGAGGGATGGCATTCCAGTCAATGAGTCGATGCAATCAACCAGTTTTCCTTAAATAGAAAACGACTGTATGATCTGGTGAACTGTAAAGGGCCTTGAGATGACATGTTGTGAATTGGCGCTATAGAAATAAGCTGAACTGAATTAAATTTACTCCATAAAACAGGTTGGAGTAATTATTCATTTTAAAATGCGTTTGTTTTTAAAATGACTCTATTTCTATTAATGTATTTATTATTTAAAGCTACAGTGTGTAATAATTACAGGGATATACAGTCAGAAATGTAATATATTATACATAACTATGTTATTTATCATCATCTACGAGCTCAGCCTCTTAACCTTAATATTTGCGTTGCCTTAGAATTCATTATTTACACTCACCGGCCACTTTATTAGGTACACCTGTCCAACTGCTCGTTAACACTTAATTTCTAAGCAGCCAATCACATGGCGGCAACTCAGTGCATTTAGGCATGTAGACATGGTCAAGACAATCTCCTGCAGTTCAAACTGAGCATCAGTATGGGGAAGAAAGGTGATTTGAGTGACTTTGAACGTGGCATGATTGTTGGTGCCAGAAGGGCTGGTCTGAGTATTTCAGAAACTGCTGATCTACTGGGATTTTCACGCACAACCATCTCTAGGGTTTACAGAGAATGGTCCGAAAAAGAAAAAACATCCAGTGAGCGGCAGTTCTGTGGGCGGAAATGCCTTGTTGATGCCAGAGGTCAGAGGAGAATGGCCAGACTGGTTAGAGCTGATAGAAGGGCAACAGTGACTCAAATAACCACCCGTTACAACCAAGGTGGGCAGAAGAGCATCTCTGAACGCACAGTACGTGGAACTTTGAGGCAGATGGGCTACAGCAGCAGAAGACCACACCGGGGGCCACTCCTTTCAGCTAAGAACAGGAAACTGAGGCTATAATTTGCACAAGCTCATCGAAATTGGACAATAGAAGATTGGAAAAACGTTGCCTGGTCTGATGAGTCTCGATTTCTGCTGCGACATTCGGATGGTAGGGTCAGAATTTGACGTCTACAACATGAAAGCATGGATCCATCCTGCCTTGTATCAACGGTTCAGGCTGGTGGTGGTGGTGTCATGGTGTGGGGAATATTTTCTTGGCACTCTTTGGGCCCCTTGGTACCAATTGAGCATCGTTGCAACGCCACAGCCTACCTGAGTATTGTTGCTGACCATGTCCATCCCTTTATGACCACAATGTACCCAACTTCTGATGGCTACTTTCAGCAGGATAATGCGCCATGTCATAAAGCTGGAATCATCTCAGACTGGTTTCTTGAACATGACAATGAGTTCACTGTACTCAAATGGCCTCCACAGTCACCAGATCTCAATCCAATAGAGCATCTTTGGGATGTGGTGGAACGGGAGATTCGCATCATGGATGTGCAGCCGACAAATCTGCGGCAACTGTGTGATGCCATCATGTCAATATGGACCAAACTCCCTGAGGAATGCTTCCAGCACCTTGTTGAATCTATGCCACCAAGAATTGAGGCAGTTCTGAAGGCAAAAGGGGGTCCAACCCGTTACTAGCATGGGGTACCTAATAAAGTGGCCGGTGAGTGTATAATTACATAGGAGCGGGTGTCGCAGCCATGGAGGCAGACATCTTTGCGCTACGGCAGCGCAGAGCCAACAAACTAGTGATTGCGAGATACGTCACAACGATGTAGAAAAAATAACGGGTATATTTATTATCTTAAGTCTACATGAAATCTATACCCTACACAGACTAATGAAATACTATCTGTAAAATTATCTATGTAAGCAAACCTCATCACTTGAGAAGGTAGGTGATGCGGACGACGTGGAAGACATTTTGTCCCGTAACGCTCGCCGTACTGTTGGGGGGGAGAAGCGGTGGGGGGGAGATGTTCATGTTGCTGCAGTCTGCAGTCTGACCGCTAGATGTCGCTAAAAGTTACACACTGTAGCTTTAATGGGACAATAATTTACATTGTATAATTTCTTTGTATATTTACTCTAATTTTAAAATAAAATTCACCTTCTGAAATCATGGTAAATTCAGATATAAATGTTTCCTGACACAGTTTGGCCCTTACTGCTCCTCAGGATCACATGACATGATAATGAGGCCCGTTTTAGTCCAAAGGGTTTTAATGAGGAGTCTGTTGGTCTTCGCCTTCATTAAGCCTCATATCTGCCTGAAAAGCACGTTAATAGAAACCTTTCTTTGATCCCCTCCACTGTTATCACACGTGATCGTTTCTTGTCCTGTGGCTGTTAGATATTCCGATGCGTTGAAGCAGGACCAAACTGATCTTCTTCTCTGTCAGCTCTGTAAGCGCAGCAGTCCTCCTCTGTCGCTGTACGGCCAGCTCTTATGGAGGGAGTTCTTCTACACCCTCGCCACCAATAACCCCAACTTTGACCGCATGGAGGGAAACCCCATCTGTGTGCAGGTGAGTCCTCCATAAGCTCCACCCTCCTCCATTGGTCTGGTTACGGTGAACCACGGCTGTCCTCTGCTGCTTGTCTGCAGATCCCCTGGGACCAGAACCCAGAGGCGTTGGCCAAGTGGGCCGAGGGACGGACCGGTTTCCCCTGGATCGACGCCATCATGAGTCAGCTGAGGCAGGAGGGTTGGATCCATCACCGGGCCCGGCACGCCGTGGCCTGCTTCCTGACCAGAGGCGACCTGTGGATCAGCTGGGAGAGCGGGATGAAGGTGGGAGGGTCGGCCTTCCGGGCAGCCTCTGGGACGTCCTGCCTGCTGACGGGTGTTCTGGTGTCTCTGCAGGTGTTTGAGGAGCTGCTGCTGGATGCGGACTGGAGCGTAAATGCTGGCAGCTGGATGTGGCTGTCCTGCAGCTCCTTCTTCCAGCAGTTCTTCCACTGCTACTGCCCCGTGGGCTTTGGGAAGAGGACCGACCCGTCCGGAGACTACATCAGGTCAGATTCCAGCTTCCTCTGAGGGGCATTCAGGTTTCTTACCAGAACCAGGATCTCGAATGTTTAATAAGCCTCCACCTATTAGAGGCTCATTTTTAAGAGGCAGAAGCTTTGCTTAATTAAATCTGAGGTAAAATCAGACTTCTTTTCACAATAATGTCTGTGCAAAACTATTCAGCCCCCTTTTCTGAGTGCAACCTGTTACCTGATTAAGCTAATCCCCCCGTGTGTAATCTAATCCAGTCCTCAGAGCTGCACAAAGCTCTGGGATGAAGCGCTGAGGTAGTCTAAAGCAGCCTTTGGCTATAAAAAGTTCAATCCGTCTCCAGACAATTGAATGTACTGTTCATCATGAGATGTTCAAACCATGTGAAAAGATTAGACCGACTGGACGAGGCTGAGGCGTCCACCTGAACCTACAGGCTGAACAAGGAGCGCTCCGATCAGAGAGCAGCTAGGAGGCCATTATAAAAAATAAAAAAAACAGTCTGCCGTTTGTTAGACGCCCACAGATGCAATAGCCTTGATAAAGAAACGTTCCAGACCAATGAATCAAGTGAAGTCTGAAGCAAAACAATCATCGCTGGTTTAGCTGGAATACCCTCTATTTTTGAAAACTAGAAATTGAACTAGACTTTGCAGTTTGGTAATATGACAAAAAGTGGAGAAGTTCCAGGGGTGTGAATACTTTATCAATCTCCGTGTGTCTGTGCTCTCCTGCCATGGTCCTCTCTGATTCGCCCCGCAGGCGTTACGTTCCCATCCTAAAGGACTATCCTAACCGGTACATCTACGAGCCGTGGAACGCCCCCGAGGCTCTGCAGAAGGCGGTGAACTGCGTGGTGGGGGTGGATTACCCCAAACCCATGATCAACCACGCCGAAGGCAGCCAGCTCAACATCGAGCGCATGAAGCAGGTTTACCAGCAGCTGTCCCACTACAGAGGACTCAGTGAGTACAGCCCTGTTACTGGTGAAGGCTGAGGCTATATCGCCCCCTATAGGGAGCAGCCGGTTACACCTGTCCCGATGGTGTGTTTGGGTCCAGATCAGCAACTTTCAGTGGGAAAAGTCTTCTCCATGTTTCAGGTCTGCTGGCATCGGTACCAACCATCCAGGAAGAGGCGGAACCGCCCATGACGGATGAGTCTCAGACCAGCAGCGGACCCGGTACCAGCAGCTCTTCCTCTAGACAATGTTTGCAGGGGTCTGAACTCTGACTGTCTCCTCCTGCTCCTCAGATTCTCCCCTCAGAGACCTGGTTGAAGTAGAAGCAGCCGGATGCTCAACGGTTCCTGATTCCTCCACTTCGATCCCACATTCCGACCAGGAGGACACGTCACACCATCATCTTTTCCTGGATCAATGCACCTCCTCTGGCCAGCCTCCCTCTCCTACCTCCAGCCCGACCCACGGCGCCACATCTCGACATAAACCCGGTTCTCCCTCCTGTTCCTGCCTCTCTCCAAGCACCAGCCCATCCTCTGACCCTCTGAGCCAAAGACAGAGAGGATGTCAGAGCTGCCCGGTGGAGGAGGAGAGGATGCAGGAGGAGGTGGATGAGGAGAAGATGGAGGAAGAGGCGGCTCCACAGCAGTGACATCTGGTGGACAGTTGAAGTAGGACAGGTAGTTACTGCATTCCTTGCTGAATATCTATCAGAGAAATAAATCAGAAATGCAGCAATCATTTAATTCAGCTGGTATTTTATTCAGGGAGTTTTTCCTCTCCACTGTCGCTACAAGCATGCTTAGTGTAAGGGATTGCCTTCGAGTGAATGAGACGATGCAATCAACTGGTTTTCCTTAGATAGAAAACTTTGAATCAACTTGACTGGATGATCTGGTGAACTGTAAAGTGCCTTGTAATGACATGTTTGTGAATTAGGGTTGTCAAAAGTGTCGAAACTCAAAAAAGTATTGATACTGAAATGTTGTATCCGGATACAATACTCGTTTTTAAAAGTATCGATACAGTGCCGTCACCAGTGGCACCTAAGCAGTTATTCATCTAAAGTGCAGAATAGAGGACAATGCACTTTCAGAACACTGTGTGATTGAATAATTCTGTGCTCTTTTTAGTTTCAGACTTTTTTTTGTAAGAGGTGCAGCTGCTGAGAATTATTTTTGTTTCTTTACTGGTTTGGCTAGTGTCGCTGTTATGTGTGCAAAGCATAGCCAAGGAAGGAACACTTAAATTGAAATTTATAAGTTTTTTATCAAGCTTGCTTAATATTATGCACAGCATACGACCTTTTATTGTGTTTATTTATTATATTTTATTTATTAATGAAAATATTTCTGTAGACTTTTGGAGTCTGTTTTTATCCTTGTGGTATCAAAAATGGTATCGAGTATCGAATATTTTCCTTAGTATCGGTATCGAGTTGAAAAGTTTAGTATCGTGACAACCCTATTGTGAATTGAATTGAAATGGGATTAGAGGCATCCAGGCTGAACTGTCAGAAAGTGGGAGCATAAACATAGGTCAAATAGATCATTGGTTCCTGCTGTCAGTTCCTGACCTTAACAGAGGCCATTATCACGTCTGGGATAAAAACAATATCATTACATATTTATGGTCCTTTCTAAAGATTGTCAGGGTCAACTTACATTAGAAACAGCACAAGATGAAAATAACATAAACTCCTAGATAGAGCCAAGGCTGTAGTGATCATGCTGGATAGATGGGTCCAGACAGAACCGGAGACTTTTAGATTCATTCTGAGATGAAACTGCGAAGGTCCAGAAGAACCTTGTTGAGTCCAGAGGAAGCGCTTCTGAAGAGCCATGGTGGAGAACTGGGTTGAAGTGCAGCAGAGCTGGGTTTGACTAGCAAGCAACCTAAAGGATGTTCTGGAGGTGTTTCTGGCAGCAGAAATCTAAGATTTAGCCACACGATGGAGCAGTGAATGCTATAGGCGTGACAGAAACATTAACCGTCATCACAGCCTCGTTTGTCCCAAAACAAAAGTACTCCAAAGAAGGCTGTAGGTGGTGGTGAACATGTGGCGTGTTTCCGAATGCAAGTCATACTGCATTCTTAAAAATTTCAAACTTCTTTTTTTCCCTTTTAAAAACAAAAACAAAAAAAAAATGAGCCGCCAAAAATCTTGGAAGTATTTGTTCAGAAGTCAGGGTGAACATTTTTCTTTTAACATGAGTCTTTTTAAAGCCGTAGGAGAATCCTATTTAAATGTCAAATCATTCTGGCTTAAACATGTATATAAATGTACTCTTTAATAGATTATATTGTCCCAAAATTTAGAAAATTTTGAAAATCCTGTCTTAAAAATCTGTGTGTTTTTGTTATCTTCTGCAGGCCAGTTAGTTATACGTCAGCTTGTACACCTAAATTATGCAAAGCACATATCCAAAGTCATCTGTCAATCAAATTATTTTGATCATAGCATCTTGATTCATATGTCGTAGCTAATATACGCAACGGTTGAAATAAGAATCTTCGCAGAGTAGTGGTGACCGTTACAGGTGTATTAAAGGAATAGTACACCCAAAACATGATTAGCCTTCATTTTCTACTCACCCCCATGCTGAACAACACTCTGGAGTACTTTTTTGATATCTCAAATGCATCTGGAGATCTGGGAGGCTTCTTGCTGTCTGCTGACATTCAAATAATGGAGGTCTATGGTGCCCGAGGCAGAAAGGTCCATAAAAGTCCACAAAAATGTACAAAATGTACAATGTACAATGTCGTCCAATGTATTCCAAGTGTCCTGAGTGGGTAGCGTCCATAATTTACTCGAAACGAAGCCATTTAGAATGTTTTAGAGCATAAACAGTAGTGTATAGGATTTCCTAAAAGCGCGTTCACGACGCTACGGAAGCCGGCAGACCAAACCAGATGAAAGTGCGAACCTGTAGACACTGTAGAACCTGGTGATGGTGGTTGGGGAAGCCCATGAAGCAGCAGCACATATAGCTTCCAGCGGAACCCCTCCCAAAGCAGCCCAGGAACCGGTGACGCTCCTGGTGGAATGTGCTCTCACACCGACTGGCAGGGAGCAGTGACCTGCAGCGTAGGCGTGGCAGATGACACTCACAATCCAATGGGACAGACGCTGTTTAGAAAGAGGACAGCCTAACCTTGGACCCCCATAGCATAGGAAAAGCTGGTCCGAGCGTCTCAGATTGGCGGTGGCTGCAATGTATGCCTCCAACGCTCTTACTGGGCACAACAACTCAGACTCATTCTCAGTTGTACCAGATTGAGGCTGAAACCGAGCCAGCCGCAATGGCTGGTTACGGTGAAAAGGAGACAACACCTTAGGCACAAACGCAGTATTAGGCCACAGGGTAACACCAGAGCCATCTGGATTCCACCTGATACACCTAGGGCTGACAGAAAGAGCATGTAGCTCGCTGACCCTCTTAGCTGAGACGATAGCCATCAGGAAAGCAGTCTTGCAGGAAAGCCACTTGAGTTCTGCTTGTGCCAAAGGCTCGAATGGAGGGTGGCACAGAGCTGTGAGAACCAACGGCAGATCCCAATCTGGGGCTCGTGGGGCTGGCTGCTGGCACAACCTACGAGCACCACGCAGAAAAAGTGAAACCAGTTCATGGCGCCCCACTGTACGGTTGTCAACAGTTCGGTGAAGATATGAAATTGCTGCAACATACACTTTAAGGGTCGAAGGAGAGCGGCCCTTATCAAGGAGAGACTAGAGGAACTCCAAAATAGTGGGCACCGAGCAGGAAACTGGGTTCTCATTGTGGGCAGAGCACCACTGAGAAAAGAGGCGCCATCTGTTAGCATACTGCAGCCGAGTGGAGGAAGCCCTAGCACTCAATACGGTGTGTCTCATGGTGTCTGAACACCCAGTCAGTCTCCCAGGGGCCATGCCCACAGCTGGAGACGTTGAGGGTTGGGGTGCCATATCTGTCCCCCCAACTGAGACAGCAGATCCCTCCTTGCTGGAAGACGCCATGGAGTACCGTGACACAGACTCCAAAGCAGCGGGAACCACGGCCGCGCTGGCCAGAACGGTGCTCGAGAACCCTCCGTAGAGTCGGCCAAATCAGTGAGAGGGGTGGAAAGGCATACAGGAGAACCTGCGGCCATGGATGAGCCAGTGCATCCTGGCCCAGTGCGCCCGCCATCCCGGTTAGGGAATACCATAGGGGGCAATGGGTCGACTCTTCTGTGGCGAACAGATCTACCTCTGCCTGCCCAAAGAGGTTCCAGATTATGCGCACTACGTCGCGGTGAAGAGACCACTCTCCCGGAGCAGGTGCCTGGCGGGATAGAGAGTCCGCAACCTGGTTCTGCCGTCCTGGCAGATACGCTGCGCGCAGGGTACACAGACGGGGAAACGCCCATTCCAGGAGATCCCTCGACACCTTCAAGAGACGTGCTGACCTGGTGCCACCTTGGTGGTTTATATGATAAACAACAGAGGTGTTGTCTGTCCGAATCAGCACATGCCTTCCCTCTAGGTGGGGCAGAAGGCACCTGAGGGCCATGTGCACAGCCCGCAGCTCCAGCACATTTATGTGTTCGGTGCGCTCCCTTGGGTCCCAGAGACCCCGAACAGCTCTGTGTTGCCACACGGCACCCCAGCCCATGAGGCTGGCATCCGTGGTGACCACCTCCCTTCGACACACTACTAGCCCCATTGGAACACCACTGGACAAAAAGGGTCCCGTCTCGCCAAGGAGCTAGGGCATGGAGGCAGCTCCTGGTCACCATTAGCCTGCGATGCCTGTGCAGCCTGGGGTCTAGGCGAAAGCTGTTGAGCCATCGCTGCAAAGGACGCAGAAGGAGCAGCCCTAAGGGCACGACACGAGTGACTGATGTTAGTTTGCCCAGCATTCGCAGGAAGATGATGTAGGGAAACTCCCTGCCCAGTCTGAATCGACGGACAAGCTGGAGTATGTCGTCCACCCTGTGAACAGATGGACGGGCCATCATGGTAGCAGAGTCCAGATGCATCCCAAGAAAGGTGGTTGTCTGAGATGGAACAAGACAACTCTTTGCCAAGTTGACTTTGAGGCCTAACAGTGACACATGAAGTAGAAGCTGGGACGTATCCCGAGAGGCAGCTACCTGAGAGGGAGCACAAAGAAGCCAATCGTCCAGGTATGGCAGAATCCTGACTCCGGAGGCCTGTAGAGGAGAGAGGGCTGCTTTCACGCATCGAGTAAACACCCTCGGGGAAAGGGAGAGCCCGAATGGGAGCACCCGGAATTGGCAATGGCGCCCCCGATAGGCAAACCTGAGAAAACGGCGATGTTCTGCCGCAATAGGCACGTGAAAGTAGGCGTCTGTCAGATCTACTGATGTAAACCAATCTCCCGCCACAATGGTCTGAAGGACCTCTGTTATGGTGAGCATGTGGAAGGGAAGGACCTTCAGGTACCGATTCAGTCCCCTTAGATCTAAAATGGGGCGAAAACCGCCGGTCTTCTTGGCCACAAGGAAGTATGTGGAGTAGTAGCCTCTGGGTTGCCGCAGAGGATCTACAGACTCGATTGCCCCCTTGCCCAGGAGGGCGGAAAGCTCCTGGTCTAGTGCCTGAGATTTCACTGGGTCTGTGATGACAGTCATCTTGACCCGGTGTGAGAGGGTGGGGCCGCCGTCGGAACTGGAGCCTGTAGCCATTGGTTAAGGTGGCAACCACCCATG